TAGCGTGTGTTATAAAAGTAGTTAAGTTTAACGCACTAATTGGAAATTATGTGCATTACAAAGTTGTATCCAGAAAGAATAAACTAGTTTTAATCAAGAAGCGACTTGTATCGCTGAAGTTCCTCGGAAATAATGTATACGGAAATTAACAAACGAGCAGAGACGCAACACTATTAACAGCAGAGAACAGTCTTAATGGCTTGAGTGACTCATCACCCACTATGCCGAAATCCTTTTCTTCAATCTTAATATTGATTTGGTTCCCATTAATATTAAACATACGAACTAAATTATAATGACTCAAATGTATTACCTTGTACTTAGAATAATTAAAGGATATTTTCCAACTTATCAATAATTCAAATTATTCTGTAACACCTCAAGTCTTCAATACAGCTAGAAATAACCACGAGTTTAATATCACAAACATATTTTACTAATTATGCCCATAACAATATCGATAAAGGAAAATAAACGGATCAAAGGCCCAGCACTGACCCGTAAGGAAATCTTCTATAAAGGATCCAATTTGACTGGATTCCATAACCTCTTGCTTTCTCCTATCCAACCACTCCGACAATCTTATTAACTTGTCTTTTCTTAACTCCTATTGATGTATTTTTATTAGCAAATTTTTCCCCTGTCACCTTATTAAAAGCTTTTGGAAAATTTAAGTCCATTAAATCTACATCTCGTCTCTCATTCAGGTAACAATAAAAAAAAGATAATGATTAACAACAGATTAGTTTGAGGTGAATCCTCGACCACTCTACAAAGAAATGCTATAATAGTACATTTATGTTTGGAATAGTGTGTGTCACAGTCTTTTACATTAAAGTATGTTCATATAGGGAGTTGTTAAACTATGTAGACACAAGAAAACAACAATGTGAAGAATTTATTTTTCTTCACAGAAGCAGAAAAGGGTAATGTGCTTACCTAAAGTCTATAAATATCAAAGTGAACCTTTGATCCACTCCACCCTCCAAAACAAAAAATGTCACAATAAAGTTGGACATATAACTTTGCACCATTAAAATGATAGTAATTATGCATTTAGAACTGATGAATGCTCACAATGAAGCCACATCACAAAAATCAAATGGCATTTTCATGAGAAATATAGCTTATGAAACTTAAATCATAGCAACCATATTTACATATATATACTTGTTAAGTCCTCCATGCAGCTCCAATTAACTTTCGTGCCTTTGGTCTGCTTGAATTTAGTTGTAGAAGCCGAAGTCCAAGTACAGTAGAAAAATTGTCAAGATTTGTAATCTTAAGCTGACTTAGCCATGCTTTGAAAAACTTTTTACGATGGAACTTGTGGTGACATGACAGTGTATAATTATGGGCATCAGACTTAGCGTGAGTAGCAATGGTAATTCCAAGGGAAGCACAGTACATGAAATAAATATATATAAAAGAGGAAGTTTATTTGGTTCGCTATAGGAATCAAACGGTTGAATTTACAAATTTTAAAATAACTTCACAATAACCAGTTTTTTACAAGAAATTTAATGGTACTATATATTTTGTATTTGGTATAGTATTTAATGACGAAACTGACAGTTAATTATTATTGTGCAATTTTTTGTAATAAACGTACAACAATATATGCACAACAGAAATTAAATGATGAGATGAAAATGTGTTTAAACTGCGCTTAGAAAAAACAACAATAAAATGGACCTACAATATTATTGACTATTTGCAAACATTAACTATGGAGACGAGGTAATAAAAAAAAAATCAAGTCGAGAACAATAAAAAAATTTTATAAACGAAAACAACTCGCCGAGCA